TCAATTTGTGTCCATGGCTTCTTGTCCTGTCACTAGGCACCACTGAAAAGAGTCCGACTGCATCATCGTCTTCACTCTGTCCCATTAGGTATTTACATACATTGATAAGAACCCCCTGAGCCTTCTCTCCTCCAGGTTGAAGACTTCCAGCTCTCTCAGCCTCTCCTAGTACCAGAGATGCTCCAGTCCCTTCATCATCTTTGTAGCCCTTTGCTGGACTTGCTCCAGTAAATCCACGTCTCTTGTACTGGGGAGCCCTGAGCTGGACCCAGCACTCCAGATGTGGCCTCCCCAGGGCTGAGCAGAGGGGAAGGATCACCTCCCTCGACCTGCTGGTAACGCTCTGCCTAATGCAACCCAGGATACCATTGGCCTTCTTTGCTGCAAGGGCACACTACCGGCTCATGGTCAGCTTCCTGTCCACCAGACCCTCCAAGGTCTTCTGTGCAAAGCTACTTTCCAGTAGGTGAACCCCCAGCCTGTAACGGTGCATGGAAAATTGCATGGACTTTCTTGATCTTAAAAATGCTAGCACTACATAAATTTGCATTAAGCAAATAGTCACTAACTTTTGAGCAAAGGCTCTGTTTGGGTAAGTTTGGTCGTAACAGCTACACCAACTTTAGCTAGCACAACGCAACCACAAACTAGTGACAAAGTCAAACAGCAATTATGGGACTCAATGAGATCTGAATATTTTCTTTTTATTTAAAAATAAGCTACAAGAAAGGATAGTGATAGATCAGCATTTACGTTTATTCACTATGCTTTATGGGGAGATTGGGGGGAGCGTTTTTTGTTTGCTTTTTAAAATAAACTGTGGCCACAAAGCAGCCTTGTAGTCACCATTAGGAAGGATCTCAATGATACAGCTCACCAATACAGTTGTATCACTTTTCTGATACAAAGAAACCAGTAAGCATCAAGGTGAGCTTTTAGAATAGAGCCTAAAAATCAAGAACTTTCCTTGAGTATCACATGAAGGAAGAGTAACAGGCTTTTAAACCAGGCACTCCAAAACTTTGCAGGTTATCCCCATAACCAGGTAGGATACATGACTAGGACCTACAGCTGTAATTGAGATGAATTTGCGTATCTCTATTGCTACAAAGAATAGTGTAATAGTATTAAAAACAAAAAACACCTAGCTTTAAATCAGCAAGTTAAGCAGGAGAGAAGATGTGAGAATATACTGCAGCCACTTTCATTGCTGTAGAGGTACAAAACAATCACAGGCTTAACTAAGGCTGTGGATTCTCACCCTTTTTCAATATTGGTAGCAGTACCAGAAAACATAACCGCTTTTGCTTTGCCTTAACTATTCATTACTACATTGTACCAACAACTTTTTTTCTTCTCACAACTGCTGGCTGAGACAGCAGTTTTGCTATTACTCTTTCCACCAAAGAGGAGCAAGCCTAGCTTTAACATTTTCAACCTTTATTACTTTGACTGCAGCGGGTTTAGAAGCAAGCAGCTAAGCCAGCAGATCCAAGAGGGCAGTAACCTCCAACAGGGAAATTACGGAAGAGAATGAAAAGAAACATCAAGAGCTAGGTTTAGCATGCACATTTGTGGTTTAACTGGTAAGCTTTGCATAGGTTGGTCCATTGAAAGTTGTTAGTCTAAAGTTACTGTGGATGAGATTGTACATCTATGTCATCAGAAACATTTCATGGAAGCTAATTATTACCTCCAATGCTAAAACACAGTGCATTTCAGGAACTAAGTAACACCGCACCAAAAATTAAGTGTGTGTAAGTAACTTAAAAACCATCAAATATGCACTCATAATACATAAAGTGAATGTATTTGTCAAGCAAAAGGACAAGTTTGCCTGTTCAGAGGTTCACTTCATATTCTGCCTTCTTGTAACCTTATTACTGAAAAATGGATTAAACTATGTAACTTAAGACCTTCAAGCTCAGCTTATATGACAACTGTTTGTCTCTCATGGATGAGTTGCATATTTTGATGGTGTGGCTTCTTATTCTTCTGGAATGCAGCTTGGTCAGTGCCAAGTTAGAGATCAGCTCAGATCTCCAGGATGAACTCCACAAAAAACTTCAAAGCGGACTCTGAACCTAGCTTTGCAACCACAGCAAATTGTAAGTATAAAGACATCAGCACTCAGGTTGATGCATTTTGCAGCCACCAAACCTTTATCAGTACATGTGGTTTCACCCTTAGATAAGTTACAGAAGTCAAATTCACATAGTTTTGTGGCCATGTACAAGCTTTAAAAAAAAAAAAAAAAAAGAGGTAATGATCTTCCTTGCACGTAATTCTGTGTTTGCCATTGTGACTTCAGCAGCTCTTAGGTCATATGGGCACGACAGCTAGGCGCTTGCTGAAGAAGATGAAAGCAGATGTCACTCACAGTGGGAAATACTCTAAAAGAATCAATTTCTTCACTGATTTTCACTCATCTTAATTTTCCAGGTAACAACTTAAGTTTTTCTTTATTAGATTTTTTTCCAAACACTATGAAGCCCGGGAAACATGATCAACTTGGTAATCTGTGAGAAGTTTATCTGAGTTACAGATTAACCATACAAAAAAGATGCATAAATACCCAAGCTGGTGCACCAAGTACAACAGCAGAGCAAACAGGCTATTGCTTCTAGCACCTCCACAGCTTCAGAAGCACAATAACTGCCTGGGAACAGAGGGAAAGCTAAAGTCTGTAAGAACCAAGCCTTGCTGTGGGTGAGCCAATATTTATGCCCTTGCACCACTTTCCTGAAGGAGGAGTTCGGTGCAGAGGCACCTGACTGATTGGGTCTACTTAGTTAAACCAGATATTAACACTTTACGCTTATCAACCGTGCAGTCAGTTGTTGTCCTTAACATGGACTCTGCAACCAGGTGTGCCTTTACTTTACTATCCATAGGATTACACTGTACTCTTATTTCTCCCTACTGCCCATACTACGGCAAATCTGCTATGAAGATTTACATGAATACAGTATTAAGTGAAATTGCTTTTCTTTGCTAGTATCAGCTCATATTTCCCATAGCCAATAGGCAAGTTGTCATTTCTTTATCTTGCTATTCAAAACAGAGGTACATGTGTGGCACTTGGATATCAGAAAGCATTGACCCAATAAATAAAAAAAAAAAAGATCCCTCCCTAAAATTTTTAGTTATTTCTATGCAGAATAATTTTTCCTGCTCTAAATTTAAAAAAGTATCAGCCATCAATTTAACTGCCAACAGCCAAGTTGGACCAGTATTTAAGGAAACAGCACTTAAGCTTTTGAAGAAAGAGAACCAATGTTTAGCCAATACATAGTTTGTATTAAAGCTGAAGAATTTATTTTATTGCTCATTAGCATGAGGCTGTATGTAACTAAATACTATGTTTTCTCTATTCTAAATTGGATATTTAGGATTTTTTTTTTTTATCCTTTTCAACTTTGTTTAATAAAGATTCCAGATATATTTTTGTGGGAGTAAGGAATGGCTGGCTCAATATTATGAATAAATTGTTCCTAAACAGGTAGGAAAGATCAGAATAAGTGATCTGCATAGGGCTGCAGAATCACAGTAAAATATTACCATTGATTTGCTTAACTGAGGGCTAAATTGTTGATTCACACACACAAATCTGAGGAAATCTGGCACAAGCATTAGGGTAGATGAGTGCTAGAGGTGCCTTCCAACATAAATTAGTCTATGCCTTGCACATCATGAGAAGACTTTTGTCTTTTTTTGCCCATCACAGAACACACACACTTCACTTACATGTTACTTCAGTGTACCTGAAGCACAAAAATTTGATCTAGACAACAAAAAACAAACAACCCTAACACATCTGTACCTTTCTTATACAGCAGCAACAACAGAATTCAGGCCACCTCCCTAGCACAAACCTGTTACTGACCTATACATCATCCCAGCTAAAAATAAGACATTACACCACTTGATATCAGTGATTCAGACACTGGTCCTGCTACTAGCAACATTTACAGCCAAAAGCCCCCCCCAAAAAAAAAACCAAACAAAACAAACAAAAATATCTTACTGTTAAAGATACCAAAACGTGAAATTAAGGCCAAAACACTGATCACAATTCTGCAGATTCAGCACACGCAATAAAGTAATTTTATGAATAATCTTCAAACACATACTCCCCACTTAAAAATAGGGAGCAAACTATTCAGAAACATACAAAACAAAGCATGCAGCCTTTCATAGGTATTTTGGGGGGGTTGTCTTTTTATTTAGTTTTGTAACATCAAATTTGTCAGTTTTTAACAGTCAGAGGAAAAGAATGCAGATTTTCAGCTCCCCACATGTGGTTGGGAAGAACAGTCACCCAGCAGTGGGTCATGAGTTATCTCCTTCTGTTCATTTCATTTAGTCAGATAAAGTTATGACAGAAAATAGGCAGGTGAAACATTCACACTGACCTGGAAGGAAACACAGACCTTTTCCCTCAGAAAGGTCATTCAAAATTTAAAGCTACGGTAGACTTGTTAACAAGTATTAAGGAATTTTCTATTACTTTAAAAAGACAACTTTAGCAGTACTGCTGCTATTAGCTCATTTGAGGAAGTACAAACCTTGAGGGGAAGGGAACACCACACATAGACAGTAAGCTGATCTCAACACATGGTGCCAAAAAGCTTCAAGAACTTCACTGACACTACACAGTCTCTTGTTTGAGAAAAGACCTTCCTCAAAATCTGGGTCAGCACACATTTGGGTTTTGAAAAATTATGATTTTTTTCCCTTTTTTTTAAAAAAACAACCAACACCGTTTTCCACAGGAGCAGAGAGGAGCTATACTTCAAGTTACATTTCCTCCCTACAGAAAATAAGATTATGCAAGATTCAAATGCATTTAAAGAAGAAAAAAAACACATGCTTTATCCAATCTGTTTTTAAATTTATGTTAAGTTCTTAGTCAAATGCAAATATTTGATTAAAACATAGTCAAAGTACAAGTGATCATACCATCACACAAGCTTCCAAGAGGAAGCATTTGTTCTTACCTGTAGCCGCAACCCCGTCAAGGTTCTAGTTCAGTT